ACTTAATCCTAGCCAGATTTGCATTTGATAATAAACCCATTTAGTATGTTTTTGAAGTACTGGAACCGCAGATGATACATTTGATAAAAGTAATTTTTTTTTTAACTTTTATAGATGAAAAAAATATTTTATATCTTAGTTTGTGTACAGAAGTTTTTTTTCCATGTGCACCGTATAGTTTGATGGCTACTTTTTCAGCAACTCCATATAAAACGTCAATATTTGGATTTGGCTTATGAAATACAGTTATCCAATTTTTTAAATTTTGATTTGTATGTAATAATGATATGATACTCGTTTTACCTTTATTATATATACAACGAGTCGAATAGCATCCAGCAAATGCATGCGCAAATAATTTGTATTTTCCCAAATATCTATGATAATAAGATAAATATACAGCATTTCGTCATTCATTAGGCAAGAATTTATAAAAATACAAATTACGTTTACCATGTAACTTTGTTATTAATAACATCAGTAAATCAATATCGTCACTACCTATGGCAATTCCTTTTTAAGTATTGTCATTGAATTCAATTGCTCTATTACCTATTAACGTATCTGCATCTACGTTTGCTATTACCACATCAATGTTATATTTTTTCAAATATTTTGCTAGTAAATCCACAAAATTTTTGTTATTTTTTTTATGTAAAAGAAATTATGTTCTATTGATTGTAATCATTTTATTTTACGATATTTTCATGTCTGCTCCAATATTGTTTTCTGATTAATAATATCTTTAATAAGATTTTACATTGAAATTTTCGTCACTATAACCATCAAAAATAGTAGTTACATTTGTACCAAAATGTGCTATGATATGCGAAAAATATAACTGGAAAACTACACATATTTTTAACTGTGAGGCCAAACTACGGCATGCAATAACCAGCCCCCATCTATCACGTAGTAAATCCAATCTTTTTTTAACAACTGGAAGTCGTTAGAAGGCTTAAAAAATTTATTCAATTTTGATTTGGGTGTTCACTTCATGAATCCTTTTTATTAAATGAACTGAGTGGATATGAAGAAAGCTCATATCCAAAAGCTTTATGCACTTTATTAGAATTTTCACTGAAGACTGCACACATTCGTTGAAATATTAAGGAAATATCTATGGTACATATTTCATAATTTCTTTCAATATATAAATCAGTAGCTGCACTTGCTAAATTTTTTACTTCATAAAATAACGCATGAAAATATTTTCAAAATTTTTTTCAACCATGCTCTCCATTCTAGATATTCCTTCTTCTAATGTGCGGTGACAGTCAATACTTGGCACTGCAATGATTCTGGTAGAAAGTGATACTAACAGGTTTGATTTTGAGCTACCAAATGGGTAATGATTTTGAAGCCAGGTAACAAATTTCTTTAAGTCATCGTTGTCTCTTTTTATTCGGCTATGAGAATGATCAATATGCTGTTAACTAGTTCTTAACGTTATTTTGTAATTATTTTCCAAGCATTTCATAACATTGAATGCTGATGGCATAACAAATAAATATCGTGCCACAACGCTCAGAGTAACACACCGACCATGTTTCAAATCTGTACCAAAAATTCTATTTAACTTTTGCTCAATTACCGTGTTGCTCCACCCAGACCACGATTTATCTGACCTACGAATAGTAAAATAACCATCTTTGCTATAGCGATCAAATTCTACAGGATTCATCGCAGTTTCAAAATTTTCCTTATCTCAAAGATACATTTGAGCACTTTTCGCGTAAGAAAAATGCCTACTTACATAAAATAACGGTAACATATCTTTTACGCTTTGTTAATGTAATTTCCAATCGCCTCAGCGTTCTGTTTCAGTAAACTGTAATGCTACTGTAACACATTTAAAATACTGTATCCATAATTTTGAAGTTGGTCCTTTTTGTTCAAGATCAATTAGTTCGTGATAAAACTGCACTGTTAAATGTTTCAAAAAATAATGCTTTTTACAGTCATCCGCTGACAAAGGATCTCCGATCTAATTCTCAAAAAGTTTATGAACGAATTCTTCTATTCCAACTACATTATTCATTGACTTATAAATAATTATAGCAACAGCTGTAAACCTTTAAATATGGGCTCTCACTGCTCTGAAAAATGCATAATCTGCAAGCGTTTTTTAAACTGAAACTAGTGCACGCGTAACACACCAATGCAGGGACTAGACGCGAGGGCCACAACCTGGGGCGAGGAAACGCGAAAATGCCCGAATACAGGCATCGGTGTCGGCAGCTTGCCACAGGAAAAAAGGAAAAGCAGAGAGAGGCTAGCGAGCAGGGATGGGAGAAGCATTTAGAGGAGAAGTTCCTCATGAACCGGACCTAATAAAGTAGGACGGTTGAGAGGTATTCGGCAACTGTTGGCTCTCTTCTCTGGGTTCTCTCCAGGAACATGGTCTTCTTTGTCCCAAGCCTCTGGCCTCCGCTTGTTTTCCCTTTCTGGTCTGCGTGAGTGAAAGAGGCTATATAATTGGCGATTGAAAAGAGTTTGTCAATTATCATTGCGATAATTCTTCGTCACAGAAGTGATAAATCCCTTGCGGTAGCTTTGTAGGCATACTCATCTTTCTTTGCTGAATGACTAGCCTATCTCTTTCTTTTTAAGGTTCATTTCCTTTGTTGTTTTTAGATATCGTACTACCGTGTCATCTAGACGATATATCCCGTTAATTCTGCGATGAACCCACGATTGTACTCTTTATGTTTGTTTTTGAATATTATATCCGAGAAATTATTGAGTCTGATATAGTATAGAGTGTAAGGGACTTCAGTTTGATATTTAATTATTATCTATCAGTGCATAAAACTTGCTCACGAGAGAAATCGTATATGCAAATCCCAATTTTATTATTTACAATTATTGTTTTGCGTTCAATGGTGATTAAACCAAAATTAAAACTAAAGTTTGAAGTATGTTGTTGAACTAATTAAAATGATAATTTATTATTATACTAGAGAAACGTTAATCATAAATATCGTGAGAAATAAGACTCGTATAGAAAGGAGTTTTTTTGTGATTTGAATATTATATCGTTCTTACAGGAGAAATAGCGCTAATGCTTTACAAAACAAGTTTATTTAAGACGTTGTAAAATTTTAAGATAGGAAAAAGTGAGTTGTGCGAACGGAGAAAGCAAATTATTTACTTTATTTTAAATCCATGATTAAGTGGGGTTGAATAGTGTCTGACGACTATGTTATGTTTTCTTATTTTCTTTTTTCATTTTCTCGATGAATTAGTCAATGCGTCAAAATGAAATCTTGTAGCTAATTTATAAGACAAAAGATTTAAATATACTTTGAATTTAAATTATAATTGCTTCGTATTTCTTTCATTATACAGATTGTGCTCCTGGTTTCACCATATATCTTACCCCACATAAAGAAAGCCCCTGCACCACATTTCTTCTAGTCCACTTCCATCCATAAAGTAATCGATTGTCAATAAGTAGGACATTAACATATGAGAATCTCCTAAGTGAACGATAACATTTTTCAATACCGTATCTTATGCTTCTACAATAATAGACCAAATTTTTCAATATAATGGTTGGTCAAATGTAACAAATGTATTTTTTTAAATAATTTTTTTTGTGTCTTTGACTGCATAATTTAAATCTGTACTTATTGTCATTGATTTTAACGAAGGCTGATTTATAAATGGCAAACAAGCTACTTGAGATAGTAA